GCTATTTTAAGTTTTAAGTCCTCTGAAAACTTATTCCTTTAAGAAATGGCAGAAAGTGCTCTGCCATTAACTGCAAGAATTCATTCCATCTAAGGAAAAAAAAATCATCCTTAAAACAACCCTGGGAGGTAGATGTTATTATTATTCCCATTTTATGGATGGGGAAACTGAGGCTGAGAGAGGTTAAATGAGTAATCTAAGGTTCACACAGCTGATAAGTATCTGAGATGGAATTTGAAACCAGATATGAGTTTTTTTTTTTCCATCTAAAGGGAACACTTTTTGAGGTGAATTTTGTAATAGAAAGGTTTATGCAATTAAACTGCAAAATATCTAAGATCCTACTAGCATTTATTAATAGGCAATGGTGTTTTCTGTATATAAAATGATATCTAATAGGGAAAATGTTGAAGAGAAAGGTTTGGAAGCGAGCTGTCCTTCACCTGGTCTCAATACTGTGACAATGGTCTGTCCGGATGACTCTTCTGCCCGTTTATACCACACATCACTGGGGCTCTGCAGCCACTCCTCCACAAGGCAGTTGTACGTCCCGCTGTCCTGAACGGCAGTATTCTGGATAATGAGGCGGTAAACTCCCAGAGAAGGGCTTTCCAAATGCAGCCTCCCCTTCCAATGGTTCTTAGTGACCTGCTCCCCATAGTGGAAGGTGGCTTCTCTACTCAGGCGGGCAACTGTTTCTCTCTCTGGGTGGTTGGGCTTCCACACGTGCCATTCCACAGCAAGTCGGGAAGTCCCACTGGTGCGATTTAGGACCACACACTCCAACTCTACCTTCTGGGTTTCCAGAACTGTGATGTTACCTTGGGCCTGGCTCAGCTTCAGGCGGATATCTGAAAACAACAGAGTAAGAGGAAAATCAGACCAGAGGATGACAGAAGAGTATATGACTTTATAGAACAGAGTGAGCAAATCTATCTAATGCTGCAGGACCCAAATCAAAGGGACAGTGGGAGGGGGAGTTGGGGTGGAAATCAGCAGATCAACCCTTGAAATAAAGAGATAGATATTCCTAGCATGGGCTATCTGGAAAAAAATTTAGCAAACATTTAATAATTACCTCTGTGTGTAAAGCGCTGAAAATACAAAGAAAAGTGGGGTGGGGACATCCTTGGTGGGAATCCCACCTTACATATCTTTGGGAGGAGGGTGGGAAGCACGTAGAGAAGATGGGTAAACAAAATATATCTGATGTTCAACCATTTTTCAGTTGTGTCTAACTCTTCGTGCCCCCACTTGAGGTTTTCTTGGTTTGCCATTTCCTTCTCCAGGTCATTTTTTTTATAATTAATTTATTCTTCATTTTCAATATTCACTTCCATAAGATTTTGAGTCTAAATTTTCTCCTCCTCCTTCCCCAAGATGGCATGCAATCTGATATAGGCTCTACTTATACATTCATATTAAACATATTTTCACATTAGTCAAGATGTAAAGAAGGATTAGAACTAATGTTCTCCAGCTCCTTTTACAGATGAAGAAACTGAGGCCAACAGCTAGTTAAGTGTCTGAGGCTTTTTTTGAACTCAGGAAGATGAGTCTTCCTGGCTCCAGGTCTGGCATTCTGTACCACTTAGCTGCCCCACAAGATATATACAACATAATATAAAGTAATTTCAAGAGAGAAAAAGAATTAACAATTAGAGGGAGGGGGAAATCAGGAAAGGCTTCCTGAAGAAGGTGGCACCTGAACTACCTGCATTCTGAAGGAAACTTGGATTTCCAAGAGATAGGTGAGAAGACAGTGCATATTTCAAACATGAAGATCCACCTATGCAGAGGTGGGGAGGTAGGAGATGAAATGATGTATACAAGAAATAGCTTGGAATATGAAATAAGCCTGGAAAGGGAGGTGAGGGGGGCGTATATTGAGGAGACGTTATGGGCCGTGTAGATGGTTTTGTATTTTATCCTAGAAGTAATAGGAAACTATTAAAAATTTTAAAGAGATAAAGGGAGGCTGTGACTAATTCTCCTCTCATTAAAACATTCCTCATATGGTTTGTTTGATAACAGTGGGAGAACGAGAATGAGCAGTGATCAGAATGATTACAAGTTATGAAAAGAGGCATGAGGCTGAGCACACAGAGCTTTGGATATAGAGCCAGGAAGACCTGAGTTCAAATCCAAACTCTAATACTCATTAAGTGTGTGACCATGAGCTGAATACCCACAGGACCTACCCACCTAACTGGGCTGTTGTGACGTTCAAACGAAATAGTTCATGCCAAGGGCCTCTCAACCTTTAAAGTACTATATAAATGTCAATTAGCATTATTAAAGTGGTAGAGATTTGGGAAGGGAGGCTAGAGGAGCTTCTGTCACCAGAGAGATTTTTCAAAATGGTAGAGGGGAAGCTAATAAATCCCGTAAGTTACTATAAATCTTATAAGTTAATAAGCTAATAACTTGTGTCCAATTATAGAATGTTTGTTTGACTGAATAATAATAATATTCAGGGCTAGCACTGATAAAGAATACTTAAGGTATGCAAAGAGCTTTTTTTAAAATCTCATTTGATCCTTAAAACATCCCTGGAAGGTAGGTGCTATTATTTTTCCCAATTTATAGATGAGTAAACTGAGAATGAGAAGTTAGGTGACCAGCTAGTTAAGTGTCTGAGATGGGTTTTGAACTCAGGTCTTCCAAACAGCATCCATTCTTGCCCACTTCACCATCTAGCTCAAGGATGGGAAACCTTCAGCCTCAAGGCCACATGTGGCCCTCCAGGTCCTCAAGCGCAGCCTCTGACTGAATCTAAACTTCACAGAACAAATCCCCTTAATAAAAGGGTTTGTTCTGTAAAACTTGGACTCAGTCAAAAGGCCGCACCTGAGGACCTAGAAGGTGACAGGTTCTCCACCCCTGACTTAGCTGAATCCAAACCATCCTACCATCCTCCTCTATCAAAATTCCCATTCCCTGTCAGTTTTCAAAGGGTAAAGGGGCAGGAATTAAATAATTCATACCTTACACTAAGATACATATATGTCACATATACATATATGGCTGGAAAAGTCTTTGTCAATTATCTTCCCCAGGATCATTTTTAAATTAAGTTTAAACCAAAGGACTTTATCTCTAATAGTTGAGATTTTGGCCATCGTGAGAGGTCGCTGGGGCCAGAATCTGAGCCTTTCCCTGGTAGAGCTACCAGGCCAGCCCTGCTCTTTAAACCTTTTCAGTTTTAGAAAAAGACATCCCTTTCCAGTTCTACAAATCAAGCTTTCCCCTAGAAGTTAAATGAGAATTCTCTACCTCTGAGCTCCCAGTTCAAGCACAGGGAACTTCCAGGGGAATAATTACCAATCTAGTTCTTGGCTAAATCCTCAGCAGCCTTGGACACACTGCTTTAATACCCAGTAACAGAAATGAGAAGGTATGGAGAAGTAGGGGGTGGGTTCTCAGGTCACAAAACCTAATGAGGTATGGTCCTACCTTAGCCTTCAGAATCCTGTTAACTAAGCTAAAAACCAAAATCCATCTACCATAAATGGTATTTCTGCCCCCCTCCAACACCCCGAAAAAAACTTTTAATGAGGCTCATTTTTTTCAAGCAGAGATTTTTTTTTCAAAAGGCATTTTTATAATACCTCTTCTTCTCTAAATGCTAGCCTCAATTAGGGCCTCAAGTCAATAAGCATTTATTAAGTGCTTAATGTTCAGTTCCAGGCACTGTGCTAAGACAGGCAAAAACCTGGCCCAATCCCTCAAGGGGCTCACACTCTAATGAACAACATACAATCTCTAGTTTCAGTGCAAACAGGGCTTGAAAAGGCAAAGCACATTCTAAAGGCTTCTGAGTTCTAAGACCTGAACAGGGAAGCCCAAATCCTATGGTAAAGACAGATACGCAGGATAATGTGGGCAACCAATATGGTGGTCACTGGCGATCTCTAAAGTTCAAAGGCCCTAGCGAGAAACCTTCAAAAAACTGAGGTCAGAACACAGGCCACCAGATACCTCCTTTAGATGGATATGAAGTCACGGTTTTACACAGCAATCCGAATGCTAGCTCTGTGGGTGTAGAGTTTTTTTAGAATGAGGCAGTTTTCTAAATGCGTCTTAGGCTCTCAATACATCCAGTACACATGTGTGTATACACACCCACACACCCACAGGCTTTCCTAGGCTAGTACCTGTCCCTTGTTGTCCCTACATCCTGCTCTCTTTATGCGTAGGGAGCAGCTAAGTGGATAGAGTGCTGAGCTTGGAATCATGCAAACCTGAGGTCAAATCCAGCCCCAGAAACATCCTAGCTGTCTGAATTTCAGCAAGTCACTTAACCTCTGTTTGCCACTGCAGCAGACCACTTGAGCATCGTTGCTGAGAAAACCCCATGGACAGAGGTCCAGAGGAGTCATGAAGAATCAGTCATGACTGATACAACTCTACAACAATAACAACAACATCAGATTGTAAGTTCCTTGAGGGCAGGGACTATCTTTTGCCTCTTTTTGTATCCCCAGCACTTAGCACAGTACCCAGCACAGAGAAGGCACTTCATAAATGTTTACTGAATGATGTGTCTCAAATTAAGCCTCACAAATTTTCCTTTTCCCTTAAAACACATCAGGTAAATAGACCTATGCAATGACCGGTTCCCTTAATTCTTCTGTAAAGCCCCTTAAAATTCCAACAATGGACATCTTGGATGATGAAGTGGCAGGGCAGGACAGTGGATAGGGCATTGGACCTGGAACCAGGAAGACTGGGATTCAACTTGCAGCTTTCCTTCGGTGCTCAGTATTTGTGTGACCTTGAACAAGTTATTCAATAACCTCTCTAAATCTCACTTCCCTTAGCTGTAAAACAAAGCCTCTGAAAGGGGTGTACTTGATGGCTTCTAAGGGCCCTTCCAACTTGAAAGCTCTGATCTCAGGATCCCTTCACACTCTGGAGGTTTCCATATTTGGTGACGGGGAGGTGACCCAGCTCACATTACCTGGCCGCTTCACTGTGACCTCAGTCCGTCCTGAAACTTCTTCTGCCAGCTTATACCAGGCATAGTTGGGACTCAAAAGCCACTCTTCCACATGGCAGTAGTAGCTGCCACTGTCACTGACCTGCGCCCTCTGCACGGTCAGGCTGAAGAGGCCACCAGACACATGTCTCTCAAACTGGAGCCTCCCTCGAAGGCCTTCCTCCTCCGCATAGGTGCCATACTCAAATGCAGAGTTGTGGCTGGTTTTCAAGATGAGCTTTCCGTCAGCATCAGAGGGCTTGTGGACATACCAGAGGACTGCAAAGTGCGAGTTCAAGCTGGTCTGAGACTTCACTGAACAGTTCAGCTGGATTGGCCTGTTCTCCACCAAGGTGATCGTCCTCTTAGATTTACTCACTTGTAGCTTTGTCACTGTAAGGGAAGAGAAAACAGGTCACCAAGGAGAGCCAAAGTATCCATCCTCCTTTCCCCCCTGCACTGAAAAAACACAGCTGTCCTCAGAGTGAATCTTCAGGTTTTGAGAGGGTCTTGATGTATTAGTTCCACACACTAAAGTTTGTCAAAACTAGTAGGTCTCACAGGAAATGATGAGCAGGTACATTTCAGAAAAACCTGAAAAGACTCACATGAACAAATGCTAAGTGAAGGGAGCAGAACCAGTAACACTGTTCAATAATCAACCACAATTGACTTGGGTCTTCTCAGTAATACAATGATCCAAGACAATTCCAAAGGACTCATGATGGAAAATGAAAACACATCCAAAGAAAGAATTATGGAGTCTGAATGCAGATCAGAGCATACTATTTTCATTTTTTTTCCTGGTGTGTGTTTTTTTCCTTTTGATCTGTTTCTTTTTTCACAACATGACTAATGTGGAAATCTATTTTACATTATTGCCCATATATAACCTATATCAGATTGCTTGCCATCTTGGGGAAGGGGGAGAAAAGGTAGAGAGGGAGAAAAATTTAAAACTCAAAAAAACTTCTGAAATGAATGTTAAAAATTGTCTTTACATGTAATAGGAAAAAATACTATTTAAAAAAAAAACTAGTAGCCTTAACTAAAAACAAGGTATATAGGAACTGGTGATGTGGATTTTGTGCTAAAGTACTCCCCAAAATGTAGGGTGCAACAGGTCCTAAATTCAAAATAACCCAACCATGAGCAGTGGTATAATCTCTGCCACTAAGAGACAGACACACACCTAAGAGATAGACTGTAATCTGGAACTGTGACTCCAATTCATTCATGACTAGAGAAAGAGTTAGAAGTTATCATACAGATTGCTGACTCTAACTCCAACCGGTAGTTGAATGAAATGAGGTCAAGAGTGGGGGTGAGGGAAATGACTTGTCCAAGGTTACATAGCTAGTTAAGTAGCAAATCCAAGTTCAGAACACGGGTTTGCACTCTAAGCTTTCAACCAAGTTTATGTTACTTTAGTGAAGCATTATTTCATTGTTTTGTGCCTTAAATGCTGATAAGTAACAGTGAATGTTCCTGAATATTCCTTCTATTTTCATAATATAAGGAGTGGGGGGAGGAAATTCAGGAGATCATGGTTTCACAAGGAGGGGAACTGGCTGGGAACTGGGCAGAGATCACCATTCTTTTCTAATAATCATCACAGCCTTGTGGTTTGAAAGGCAGTATGGTAGGGTAAGAAGACTGGGGCACCATGGAAAAAAAACTGATGGGAATTAGTCAGTGACCAAGCCTGTCCTCTGCGCTGAGTGCTGAAGTTACAAAGAAGGGAGAAGATGTGGTCACTGCCCTCAAGGGGCTCATAATCTAACAGAGGAGATAATAAACAACCATGTGCATATAAGATATTTATAATATAAATGGGAGATAATCTGGGGTGGGGGCAGGGGAGAGGGTGGTGTCAGAAGACCCAGATTCAAATTCAAATTCTGCTACTATCTGTATTGCTTTAAGTTGTCCTCTCTACTGGAAGAGATATCCTCTAAAGTTCCTTTCAGTTCTAGATCTATGACCCAATGACCTTGGCCTGAATCCTGATTCTGAGACTCTAAGACCACTCATGTGACTGACTACAGGTCAATCACTCT